CCCCACACCCACACCCTGATGGTGAGCCGTGCAAGTTATACACCATTCGATAGAGCTTGAAATTTTGCATCGGATGGTATATGTTTCGTCGATGGCTTAAGTATCTGAACGAATTGTCAGAGGAATTAATGGGTAGAAATTTCAACTTTTTCCAGTTTCTCAAGGTTTTTGGGGCGAAAACCCCCTATGACTGATGGGGAGCCGTGCAAGTTGTACACCACTCGATAGAGCTTGAAATTCTGCATCGAGTGGTATAGGTTTTGGGGATGGCTTAAGTACCTGAACGAATCGTTAGAGGAATTAATGGGTAGAAATTCCAACTTTTTCCAGTTTCTCAAGGTTTTCGGGTTGGAAACCCTCTATGACTGATGGTGAGCCGTGCAAGCTGTACATCATTTGATAGAACTTGAAATTCTGCATCGAATGGTATATGTTTCGTCGATGGCTTAAGTACCAGAATGAATCGTGAGAGGAGTTAATTGGTAGAGATTCGAAATATTCCGGATTTCGGTGGTTTTTAGGGTCAAAACCCTCTATGATTGATGGTGAGGCATGCAAGTCTTACACCATTCGATAGAGCGTAAAATTCTGCATCGAATGGTATGGTTTTCAAAAGTGGCTTAAGTTTCTGTGCGAATCGTCAAAGGGAATACTTTCGAAAACCGTGTTTTGAGACTTTCGAAGAACCCAGTCAATTATAGGAGAGTGTTATCGAAATGATTTACATGCCATTGGATAGAGCATGAGATTCTGAGTTAATTGACGTATGAGTCATGTGTGGCTTAATCACTCAGGCGAATCGTCATGGTTTTTACGAAAAATGGTCGTTTTTGCTTATTTTTGCCTATGGGTGTTTTTGATTTTTTTGGGTTTTGTGGCCTTCTGGTGGGAGTTTCCAAGGATCTGATGACACCATTAGATAGAGCTCGTCGAGTTCTAGGTGGCTTACTAGTTTTCTTTTGTGGCTTAGTTACTCAGGCGAATCGTCATGGAAAATACTCGAATCGGCTGCTAACTTTCCTTACATAGAAATTGATTGTTATATTTTAAATACTCGATATGAATATCTTGAAGAACAATTTCAAGAATATAAACAATCAGAAAAGAAAAATTGAAATGTGTTCTTTATAAATGGATTTAGAACGTATTAAACAATAATTAATTGATAAAACACAAGAAAAACTTGATCTTTTATTAAAAAATCAACTATTTGTTTATTTAGTTATTTATTAGTAGTTTATTTTATACTTTTTTCTTTTTGGATGGATTCAGGAGCTGAAACTGAAGGTCAATTTATTTTATCTTTACGATATTCACCAATTTATGATATTATAAATTTGGTAAGCAATGATATAATTAATGTAAAAAAAATAAATCATAAAAAAATTTAATTTAGTTAAACTAATACCAGGGGCGGCGCGAAGAGGTCAAAGCAGGGGGGTACCTTCGAAAAAGCGGAGAAAATCTGAAAAAAAATCAAATTTTGAGGTATTGTTGAGCAAAAAAAACGAAAATTTTCAAAAGTAGGAGGGGGGGTACCCCCCCGCTCGCGCCACCCCTGACTAATACCAGCACGAATACCAAACAATTCGACCATTGCGTCGTCGTGGTCTTCAATTAATTTTATCTAGTCGATTATAGTTGATTGTTGTTCTCGTTCTTGTTAGATTAACTTATAGAAATCTTTAAATTTTAATTGAAATTAAAAATAAAATTGAATAGAATATCGAGAATACACTTAAATATGATTTCAAGTCAATATGACTTTCGTTTCTTTCATTTTTTCAAATCTTAACGTTTGTTTTTTTTATTTATTTTAGGAAGAAAAGTTTTATGAAAAATGATTTTGATCATCGAATATGATTGCCAATAAGAGAATTTGATTTTATATTTCAAATGAAAAATTAAAGTATTTTGTTTGTAATTATAAAACAAAACAATGTGTCATATGATGACGAATGATAACATTTTCCTTTTTTAAATTAAATTTTTTTTTTTTTGTGAAACTATAAAAAAGATTGTTTGAAAGTATTTGATTTGATTCGAATTCAATGTTAAGAATTGAATTTAATGCTGATGAATGTGTAATTGAACAAATTGAAGAGGAAAAATAAAGAAGTTTTCTTTGAAATCATCTCGAATAAAGATTTTCCATCAAATTATTTTTATTGTCAATTATTATTTTCTATATTCAAATGACAAATGTGAAAATATTTTATTGAAGTTTTCATAATAAATGTGATTTTTCTCACATTAATTATCGAATATTTGTTCTCAAGAGACATCATTTTATTTCTGAAGAAGAAAAGAGATAACAGTCATGAGTGGACGGAAGCACTCGTCAAAATCTGAATTTTAGATTTTTAATGTTCATTCGAAAGAGCATCATATAAAAACACAAAATCCAAATATTCAGCTCACGTTCATCCTTCTGTTGTCTATTGATTTATTCATGATCGATTCTTAAGAAATGATATGCAAAGTATTGTGAAATTCTTTGAAATAATATTGAAAATAATTTAATATGGAGTTCTTGTCTTTCTAGACTAATGTTCATTTTGTGTTATTCGATATTGAAATTTTTTATCATTTCTAAGAATTATTTCAAATATATTTCTTTAGCAAATATCTCGGATCGTTATTTTAAGGTCTCCCGCCTCAAAAATCGATCTCAGCCAAGGTACGTTCAAATGGGCTGAAATTTGGAGCATATGTTGGGGCTGAAGTGTGGAAGCTTTGGTAAAATTTTCAGCTCGATACCCTGATATTTGACAGAGATATGAACCAAACAAAGGTCAAAAAGAGCTCACTTTCTGTCCAAGATTTCTCGGTCCAAGTTCTTTCAATATATTTAATTTTTTTTTATTAGAAAGACCATGTCAGGATGCAGGACATCACAGAATCCTTTTTTTTAAATTCTTACTTTTTTTAGCGGAAAAAGGGTATTACAAGTTCAATGACTCAAAAAAAAACACGCAAAAATGGGTATCGAGCTACATAAATGTCTGTATATATAATAAAAAATAAAGCTTAATTTAAAAAAAGGACTCTGTGATGCCCTGCATCTGAACATGCTCTTGAAGAACAAAAAAATTTTAATATATTGAAAGAGCTTGGACCGAGAAATCTTGGACAAAAGTTCAAAAAGCCATAAACCGAGAAAAAACGAAAAAGATTTTGTCGTTTTTTTAAAAATAAGCATATTTTTCAAGAAGAGGTCAATGAAAATCATCGAAAATCTTGGCCAAAAAAGAGATGTCAAAGAAAAACTAATGTCGTTTCTGAAAGATCTGAAGACGGGCTATCTCCCATGCATTTATCTCAATTTCGAAAATTCTGGCGGAAATTGACTTTTTTTGAGAGGGGAAAGGCCTTAATTGATTTTTATTCGAAATTTTGTCATTCGAATGGTGAAAATTCTTCTCAGATCTCTTTTATCATCGTTTTCACATATTGTTTTCTATTTTCTTGATCGTTTTATTGAAAACAATATCATATAAGTATCAATCAAATTTCGATAAAGAATTAACTGTTACATGAAAAGATCGACCAAATGCGATGGATCAAATCGGCGAAATTGAAAGATGATCATATTTTGTCGTTTTGTGATTTTGATTTGATTGTATCGAGAATATAGATTGATTTTGAAATTTTTCAATATAATTTTTAACTGAGAATCGTCATACTTCAAACATATTCCGCAAATCTTCATTCATCCTTTTACGTAGGATTTTCGAACTCGTTATTTCGAATGTCTAGATTTCATTCTCGGAAAGATTTTTTTTAGAATCTTTTTTGATAAAGTTCTGACGATGTTTTAACTGTTTATGAATTTTTATTCAAGTAATGAATGACTCATCCTTACACATAGAAGATTTACAGAGACTACACCACAATCATGTTCGATTTTGATTAAGATGAATCAATTATTCAGAAATAAATCACATCAATGACTATGATTTGATGTTCTTGAAAATATCTAGATCCGTTAAAGAATTGATTTTGGAGAACATTAGATGAAAATAAATTGAAAAATTCATCATTTCATTCAATTTGATCAATATTTGGCTCATTGAATTTTCTATAATAACATGTCAAATATTTCAACCTTCATAAGTGCACATAAATTTATTTTATGCTGCACTTCTTCCTTCATTCACAATTTTTCGATCTATAGCTGACTAGTTTTAAGGTTTCTTTCCGACACACAACTGAGAATTTTCAAACAATTTTATAATTGCCTTGCATTAGTTCGATTGTTCTAGTTGAGAACATTGCAACTCGTCACGTAATGAGTGTTTTTTTTCAGAAAAAACGAGAATTTCGTAACGCCAAAAATAGGGATATACATCCAAATAGTGCCTGTGATGAATTGACTTAATTCTTATTGGCAGTTTAATGATTGACGAAATATCATTATTCATCTATGAGTAAATTTGACTGTCGTTAGAGGACACGATATTTACCATTTAGCATTTAACATTGTCGTTGCTGACGATATCGGTCATGATAGAAAATAAAAAAATATATATATATAGATAGACAGATATCATTCCAGTGTATAATAACATAGAATCACCACATGAATTATTCAACTGTTAATATTGTTGACTTATGTGATGATATATTACTTGTTATTTTGAACAAACTCAATAATATTGATGTATTATATTCATTGATAGGAGTCAATCGAAAACTCGATAGATTGGCACAGGATATTACTTTTACACAATCTATTGATTTAGTAGAAATATCATCAAATGAAGAGAATAACTCAAAAAAAAAGTCAATACTCGATGGATTTTGTATTGATATAATACCTCGAATTCAACACAATATTGAATCACTTACTCTTGATCCATTATTAATTGATCGTGTTCTTTACATTGGAAATTATTCTAACCTTCATAAACTTACTCTTGTTAATCTTCAACTTGAAGTGGCATCCCGTATTTTCAATGGTATCTCATCTTTTTACTTATGCTTCAAGATAAAATAAACAACATTGATTAATAAATTTATTCTATATATTTAGATGGATCATCATTTATTCATATTTTCAAACATAAGATTTTACATCTTACTCTTACAATAAAAGATGGCAACACAGCTCGATATATACGAAAATTATCTACAAATGTTTTCACCACTATTTTGAAAATGTTTACAAATTTAACTCATCTTGATTTTTGTTTAACAGACATTTGCAGTTATCCACCAAGTTCATTTATTAATTTAGTACCTACAACATCTTATCCATCAAATATTATTCATTTGAATGTTAGAGTCTACAATTTTGATGATTGTCTTTATTTAATTGATGGACGTCTTTCTCAATTACAGAGATTTATTGTTGAAGTTGATGATATTTATACAACATCAATGACTATCAATAATATGGTAAAATATTTTAAAGTATACTGAATTAGTTCTTTCTCTATTGACTTTTGTTAGAGCGATAAAGCACTGATATGACGATAAATATATATGAAGAAATTTAAAAATACGATTTTTATTTGCGAATATTATTTTCGAACAAATATCATTAGAGATAACATATAATTTAGGAAAAGAATGAGAACAATTCTATTAAATGATCTATTATTGATTTTCTCTTCTAGAAATTCTTTTTCATTTAATGTTAAATCGGTAGTTGGAAACTTTTTCGAATGAATATCATATTAATAAATAAAGCAAGAAATAAATATATTAGAAGAACACATTATAGAAACAAATATTTTATTATGAGACTTTTTCTAAAGTATCGAAGTTTAATAGAGAGATGTCGATCGCGGTGGGAAATCTGCCGCCACTCTGATAGTATTTTAAAAGATGTTTTGATTTTCAAGGTCGTGACCGATCTCAACTAGAACTGCTGCTGCTAATCGATTAGATTCGTTAAGTCTTACAATATATCATAGATCAATGTCGAGATTTTGTGCAAATTGATGAATTTTTGAAATATATTCCTATAAAATGTGCTGCTGCTGCCATGGACACCTCTGATATGACTAAGATCCGAAATATTTAATTATCTAATGGTTAGCTCTAGACTTGTTTGAATTATTAATTTGATACTAGTTAATATTTATTTGAATTTTTTTAGAGAATAGTATCTAATCTAAAATGTTTCTCGTTGACTTCATTTGGAGAAACAACAGACTATGATAATGAAATCGTACCATTACTTCGTCAAATGTCACAATTAGAAAAACTTACCTTATCTCTTATTGTTCATGGTCGAACTTCATTCATTGATGGAAATCATCTGGTTAATCATATCCTTAATAAAATGTCATTTCTCCGTACCTTTATTTTCAACATCATAACTGAAATTTTCACACCGGCCGAAGAATTTTTACCAACAGCTGATGATGTTGGACATGCATTAATCCAAAGAGGATATAATGTGAACTGTTCTATTGACTATACTACATTTAACATAGGTCAATGTCATATTTATTCACTTCCGTTCACTATGGACCGCATTGATATACATAGTAGTAAATTTCCTGGTGGTTTATTCATGACTGTTCGTCACTTAGTGGCACGTGATTTATATCGTCCATTTGAATATGATTTCTTTATTCGAATATCTCAAGCTTTTCCATTACTAAATAAATTGGTAATAGTTAATAACAATGAACAAGAAAAGAAGTTAACAAATCAACAAATATATTCGATTATTGAGTTTTCTCATCTTATGATACTTGATATATCAAGATGTGATATCGATTATGGCAAACAATTTCTTTTCGACTTCAACACACGTTTACCTTGTCTTAATACATTACATATCAAATATATTGACTTGGAGATCGTAACAGGCTATTTTACAAATAATGATGCTCGTACTAATTGTTCAAAATTACAACATATTATCTTTGATTTACCACCAAAGACATATACAGAAAATTTTTACAGTTATTTTCCTTTATTGTAAATAAAATTTTGTTCGTTATTCAATTGTTATATTTTTTATATATATCATCAATGTGATCTTGATGTAGCTCGTTATTTAATTGCATCTTATGTTGATATGTCACTTCTTCAAAATGGAAATTATACAAAGGATGAAGGAATATAAGAAGGCAAATCGGCCCATTTGTATTTTTTTTGGCCAACCCTATTCAATCATATAGTAATTGCAAGAGAACAAGTTAAGACTAACATTTCGGTGCTAGTTTAATCAGGTTTTGATAAGGAGGAAAGAGCTGAAATCAGATTTTTTTTTTGATTAAAAAATCAAAAGTAATCACTTGGTTTTTAATTTTCTGTCAATTTTAAATCAAGAACATCAAAAACATCACTTTTGTAATTGTTAAACGTAGATCTTCTAAATTGACGAATTGTCTTCTTTTAACAACCAGGCTCTAACTGCAGGCTTAATTTATAAGAAAACATTTAAAATCAAGTCAACAAATGTTAAAAATGGACCTTGTTTGAATAAGTGAGGGTGAGCGTGTGGGTGTGGGTGGTGTGTGGGTGTGGGGGTGGGGGTGGGTGTGGGTGTGGGTGTGGGTGTGGGTGGGTGTGGGTGTGGGTGGGTGTGGGTGTGAGTGCTAATCTTCTTTTTAGCAACAACAACACCCACACCCATACCCACCCACACCCATACCCCACACCCACACACCCACACCCCACACACCCACACCCCACACACACACACCCACACCGCACACCCACCCACACCGCACACCTACACCCCACACACACCCACACCCCACACCCACCCACACCCCACACCCACCCACACACTCACACCCACCCACACCCGCATATCTATTACTAAAAAGTTTTGTATAATTTTTTCGCTTTTTGATTTTGGTACTTCAAGAATGGAGTAATTGTTAATCTTGCTAACTTTATTCTCATGCGAAAAAACCTATTCAAAAGACAAAATTGACACTTCTGTAAAAAAATTAAATCCTCTATTTACTATTTTTCTATCTCAGAGAGAAGTCTTTCATTTTAACGGCAGATTCTACGCCTCTATTTGCAGCTGTCTTCATCAGAATTTTTTTTTCACGTCTTTTAAAAGTTCGCTTACCATGTGAGTCTAATTAAAAACTTCTAAAGGATATAAAATTCTCATTTGAAACCAATACAGTTGAACATCTAATCAGTTGGAAAATGCCGAAATATTTTGCTTTCAAACTTTCAACTCATCCACAATTCATTATCTTTTCTCATTACATTTGACGTATTTGAAACATTAACCGATTGTCTTTGAGGAATCATGAGATTTGTTGCTTGTTGTAGAACTATTAAAAAAAATATTTATTATTGATGGAATTAAAATTTTTATTTTAACAAACTTTCTTTTGGTAAACCATAAGCATCATAATCATTAAGATCAAGACGAAGACCAACAAATTGTAGAGTTTCTGCAAGTGATGCTTGTTGATCATGATGTAAGGATATTAACATTTAAGCGACATACTAAAATAATTATTATAATATCTTCTTATTCGAATTTTGTTT